CATCCCCATATCAAATTTTGCTAAATATCTGGGCCTTAATCTTGATTGTAAATTGAAGTGGAAACACCACATTAAGCTAAAACGTCAGGAATGCAACTGGAAATTTAGTCGCCTTCAGGAGCCGGAAGTCGGAAGCCGGAGTCGCCGGTGGGAGGTCTTTCTCCATTATCCCTTGGCAATAAATTGCTTATTTATAAGCAGTTTATTAGACCTGTCTGGGCATATGGATGCCAGATATGGGGAACGGCTGCTCCCACGAACATTAAGATGATCCAGACACTTCAAAATAAAATACTTCGTAGAATCTGTGGGGCACACAGATATGAACGAAACAGGGATATCCACAGAGATCTCGGCACTGAGTCTGTGGGAGACTTTATCACTAAAATTTCCTCTCGCTATGAGGCTCGTCTACATAGACACTAATGAGGAAGCAATGGACCACTAGACAAGGTACGAATTTAAGCAATCTGCTACATGTTTCTTAACCAGAATTTCACGTAGAACACGATTCACACTACGAAAATTACCGAAATCAACTTCTAACGAAGATATTAACGTTTTTATTTCGCACTGATTACGAGGAATTTGAACTGCCTGCTCACAAGAAACTCAAAGCTCTACGTGAGTCAAATCGCGCACTACAACGGTTTCAGCAAGCTTCTCAATCGAGCAATGTTCATTTTCCACCATGTGTTGTTCAAATTATTGGTAATTTGCTATAGCTGAGCCAAAGTGTCAAGATTGAAGTTGAAGATTTTTACATCGCAGAGACTGTCATGATAAACATTTAGCGCGCGATGTGAATCACGTAGAGCGTTGAGTTCTCATGAGCGGGTGGTTTGAATTCACGCATCAAGAATCATTAAATATCTTCGCCGGGAGTTGATATTGGTAATTTTCGTAGTGCGTATCGTGTTCTACGTGAAATTTTGGTTGAGAAACATGTATCAGAATGCTGAAATTCGTACCTTGTCTAGTGGTCCATTACGTTGCTAGATAACAGTAAAGAAATTAGAAGAATGAAAAGACGCAAACCATGGGTGCTGGCCACTCCTCGATTTGATCTGTATTTTTAATTATACTATGCTCCTCTTTTCATACATCATCTTTACATTAATTTTCATTTTCATTTGTATCACTGATTTTCATACTCATTTATATGTGTGTTAGTTTTAGTTAGGGGCGGGAAGGGTTATTTAGTGGTAGTTTCACTACTTATACTCACCTGTTTCCTTTTCTTTCAAGAATTAAGAAACTACTCTGTTGTCTCTTGTATACTGATTTATTACATTGTAAAGATATTGCATATAATTCCTTTGGAAGTTTACAAAATGAAAATCTTTAAAAAAAAAAAAACATTCCTTCCCAGAAATGTGCCGGTTCCAGCTGAATTTAGTTTTTTATTTCTGAATGATGAAAGAATCTCAAAGGATCGAAATACATATGACTAATTCCTAGCTCTGTAGCTTGCAAGATAACACCTTTACCTGAGTTATGAATTTTTCCAGTATCGTTGAAATATAAGTAGAGTACCTAGTAGCGGCACCCAGTGTCACAGTATGTCATATTTGATGTACGTAATTCTCATCCAAATAAGAGAAGAATAAATATTTCCCTTCATTACCACCAAGTAGACGAAAGTTCCACTGTGAACTTAGTTGGCCAATAAAAATGCAAACAATGAAGCAATTATTTTTATTTCCTGACTCCAAATGGTAAGAATTATGGTAAGAATTCTAAGGCATAGTAAAAACTGTATTTATAATTCCTCAATTAATACAAGGTTGACTGTTTGCATGGAAATGATAGTACATTGGTTGGCTTAACTGTTATTCTAAACTTCAGATTAAGTTGATGAAGGTAGCAGGTTATCGTCAGCAAGAGCTGTTGATATGAGTATGTAGTTTAGAATGGTCGATTTTTAATTCTTCCAGAGGAGCATCATTAGTATTTAATACAAAACTCTCAAGGGTCTCTGGGTATTATGCTACCTCTTATCAAGAATGTTTATGCTAATTTTGTTGCTATATGGTGATGGGAGAGATAATTTCAAGATTATTTTGGTAAAAGTCGGACAAACATGAGGATGCCAAGTTTATAAGAAAATCTCACAAACCAAAGTGAAAATTGTTTCATGCCACTGCAATTTTCAGCTTCGCGCTAGGTTCTCGCAAGAAGGTCAGCACAACGCGCTGATCACACTTTTCTGGAATTTCTTGTTAATTTTAGAATGTGTGCCAAAGTCACAGTAAGTATTCCACAAGAATTGCAAATCTGAAAAATCTAGAAAAATAACAAGTACCTCTCAGCCTCCGCGCAATTTGCACCCCTGCTAACAAATGTTGGAGAATAGAGAGCACTTCACCCTCAAAACATTACTCGCACTGATTTTAAACTAATATGTAATTATATGTGTACGATGGTGGATCTGAGCTGTACTTACTTACCGAACTTTGTTGACCGAAGGTGTTACTTGGGGGAAATTCATTAACTGCTGCCAAGGATTCACAAACTCTGACCTTGATAAATATTTCCGACGTATACTTGAGATACAGTCAGATGTTTAGAATTCTGGACATTCAGTTCTTGTTCACATACAAAAGAAATTGACTTACAAATACAACCGTTTTATATTTACATAACTGCTCAACAGAACATACCGACAGTTGTGATTAGGTTCTCGACAGCACTCTGATAGCGGTGATAGCTAAAGGATCCCTACCCTGCGGCAAAAATGGAGTTGATTGAAATTTTGATTCACATGGTGCTAATGCTGTCAAGACAAAATTACACTCCACGCATAGTCAAAGAGTATTTTGATAAGTAAGATTATCCATTGAGGAGGTTGCACAAATCACAAATCAAACCGAAGGACATGGACAAACCAAGGAGCCAGCTCAGAAACTCGGCGATTCAGTTTCTCTCACTGCAAGAGGTGGAACCATCCAAAGTACCACTAATGTTAAGTTGAAGGGGTGAATTACTTATTTAAAGAGTGATAAGTCATTTTGGGACTTTTTCGAAGTGATTTAAAGGAAAAAATTGGAAAATGTTCGACTATAAAATGAACGTAAACAATCCGCCATTGTATCAAAGCTGACGCACAAATGAAACAAGCGCTAAACACAAGGGGGAAAAAGTACATGCGTAAATAGATTTTGTTTTAAAAGGAAAATGGTGAAAAAGTTAGGAAATTCATATTGGAAATTGAAGCTTTAAGATATAAAGAACTTCAGATAATTAATACAGTTTACTTAGAAACGGAGTTAAAGAAGGCAAAGTTAAGGAAACTCCGAAGGAACAGGGTATTTTGTAGGAAAGGGTTGGTAGGTCTAGAATTGAATTGACGTATCGACATATTGAACAGCGACTATCCATAGTCTTGAAAAACCCGTGTAAAATACACACTAATACTATAAGCTGTTATGAGGGATCTTATGGAAATGCACACACACATACAAAAAATTGCTCGATAGCCATAAAAATCCCCATTTAAACACGGCAAAACCCCACTAAACACGGCAAAACCCCACTAGCGATCGATTTTTTTCGAGATTTTTACATTGATGAAACGGCAAGGGTGATAGGAAAGTTCTCTCCATTTGATCACTGGGAGAACAAAAGTCAGAACGTCAACCGGACGAGAGCGGGAGGGAGATAGCCCCTGAGTCGGCAGGTACAGATAAGAGGACGGACACGCGCTACGTTATTTCCTTATTTACATCGGGCCTGTCCTCAAATGCTTTGTTCTTTAGTATTCATATTCGCCGAATAATTGAACCCTTTCTTTGATTTTTTGCGAAAACGGTGCATTGTAGAAAGTTGGCGCAATCATAACTTTTGATCAGCATCTTGAGGAGAATCAAATGACATAAGTCATTCAGCAATCGGTCATGATGCAGCTTCCCATAAGACTGCCGTGATTTTTCTTCTCTGCGTGAAGAAAATCCTACCAAAACTTCAAGAAATGATATCAACTTGTTTTCCTTAAAAAATAACATAGAGATGAGATTTTCAGACACCGCAACAGAGGATATGTGATTGCCAACTTACACCGCCAACTAGTGCCTTCGCCATAATCTAAGAAGCTTGACAAAGGATGCACCTCATTCTGTGTATCAATTCAAAAGGAGTGTCAATCACCTACGTGACCTCGAGTGACAACAGGGCAAAAAGAAATTAATTCAGTCAAGTTTCACATGGACTTCATAGTTCACATTACGATGAAACGTAGACAGAATTAAATGGAGGTTATGATGGTCCTACAATTCTTGACTAAGTATGGCTTTCAGTGCTGGAATGAACTGATGGGAGGGCTCTCGACTTTCAGGACACCTTCCCAACTTGGGAAACCGCTTAAGAGAGAGTTTATTCACAGATACAAGGTGGTTTGACATGCTCTCTAGAGTACGATGTATCCCATTAATTTAATCAAAAACCTCTGCAGATTTTGAATTCCTAGTCAAAAGAAGGAGAATAGCCCCAGGGCATGAGACTAATGAATCATACTACACCAAAAATTATCAATAATTCGAGAAATGAAAACAGAATCCTCTTTCAAACAAACCTCGCATTCCGCACAGTTATCAATTTCTGAGTCAAATGCGAGATTTCTATCCAATCAGGATTTTGCTTTCACTTCTCTGAATTGTGCTAATAATTTGGTTTAGAATAATTCCGTAGACTCATGCACAGGGACAATCATCCTTCTTTCGGCCAGAAATTCAAAATCTACCGAGAATAGTAACATAATCAATGCTATGTATTGCATGCAAGATTGACCAAGTCAGAAACCTTGATGGATCACCTAAAAGAGAACGTACATGTCAGTTCCTTGTCATCACTGTGAAAATAAATATAATTCAGCTCATAATTAGCATTCCAAGAGTGTCACGAGAAAATAGCAGTGAGAGATATGAATTCAACGTCGAGACTCGATAGATTAGTAACCTACTTAGTGAAAAATTTCGGTTTCGAATAGGAAAACAATAACTTACCTGATAATATTTCCAGATGATATACAACTAGTCACAGTAGGTAATGTACTATTTCTTGAAAGCGCACGGATAAAAACTCCCGTAGAGTATGAGACACACTTCAGAATGATTACTGAAACTTCACTGCATGAGCTCTTGAATTACTACACACTCATGATAATCCACCTGGGACTGACACTGAAAGGAGAACGAAATTAATCTGCACGATGTACGTATACCGGTTAGAATCATCGGCGTGACAAATAATACACCGTGAATGCGTGAAGCGTGGTGAATTTCCATTGGTCCATCAGGTAAACTCCGCTTTTTACGATTGGTCTATATCAGTAGACTTGGCTCGCTATGATTGGCCCACGTTCATATACTAGAACTTTCTTGAAAGTTCTGAAAGTTTACGCGGAAAATTAAAAATTTGAGTTTGCAGTCGTTAATTTGTGAATCAGACGACCAGAGAAGTAGAGAGAATAGCCTCCTGCTACTTCCTGCCGCAATCAGACGCTGAATTTAGCACCTGAACCTGAATGTGGAAGTCAACAGTCATCGCCCAACGGCTGAAATTTAGCAAATTCGAGTTATTTTCATCCAGATGTGTATCAAATCTACTCGAATAGTTCAGACAAATTCAAAAGTGGTCCGATGTAGAGTCCCTTTATACCCAGAGTAACGACAACTCGATTATCAGCTGACTGGCAGCCGACCTTGGCTGGCCATGGAGGCCGAAACTAGTGCACTCAAACGAACGATATTGGGGGATAAGGATCAGGAATCCTGCGATGTCTGTCACACTGAAACAACAACATCAACAAATTGATCAATTAAAAAGAAAATGAGATTGGTTTGTGAATAATTTCTTAATCTATTTTCATTTTGGACCGATGGCAATAACAATTTACTCTTGATAAACCACAATTAGGTAATATTTTCATTATTCTTGTTCACATACGAGGTACCGCCATCTTGGTGCACTAGTTTCGGCCTCCATGAGCGAGAACCAATCAGAAGTGGATTTTTTTTTAGGCCACTTTCAGCCCAATCCTGGCCCAACCAAAAGTGAGTTGTCGTAACTCTGCGGGTATAAAGGGACTCTAGTCCGATGGTTGCTGAGAATCGTTGCTGAATTTTGCGCGACACGCGCTACATTCAAGCATCGCCGCATAGTTGCGAAATTGCGTGATAGATTCCTAAATGAAATTTCACGATAAAATTTCATGGAATTTCATTCACTTATTGAAATTTTCTCATCCAGAGTAGAGTCCCTTTATACCCAGAGACATCACGATTATCAGCTGGCCTGGGCTGGCCATGGTATGGTGTCTCAAAAGTGTGCACCCAAACAAACGATATTGAGGGATAAAGATAACGACAAGGCCTTATCTCCACTAGAGTAGAGTAGAGTCCCTTTATACTGAGAGTCAAGACAATTTGAATCTATTTCTGATTGGTTCCCGTATTTTAGGCCTCCACAGTGTCACAAACGGGAATAAAGATTACATTTTCACCAATTGCAAAGATTATAATCTGGAATGGACCAGGGAATTACGGGTTCGGCAAGGAACAAACGGAATGAGAGGAGGAACGGAGAAAGGCATTTGAGAATGGGCCGATCAAAGATTACGAAAAACGTTCAATTTCTGTAATCTTTATTCCCGTTTGTGACATCCACAGAGTTAAGAAATTTCATGAAAGATTATAAAAATAAATTTCATAATGAAATTTCATTTAACACGCAGAATTCAGGATTAAACCCTTGAAACTTATGAATCTCCTTAAGTTCATTTGGATGCACGTGGTAAACTGTGAAAGGGAACTTTAGAAATGCCCAGAAAGTTGAGTAAAACAGCAAAAACATAATTTTGAATTTTTTTTCTTAAATTTTGGTTGAACACACAGCGCACAGCCGTACCGGTTGAACACCAAAATAAATTTTACGGATAAAGTAAGACGTTAGCTTTCATATTTGGAGCAAAACAAATTTCTTGACTATAAAGAATCCGAGTACTAAGTACCCCCTGATAGTATATCCTTCATTTTTTGTACAAAAGGGAGGGAGGGATCTTGAACTATCTTTGAAACAATTTGAATGATTTTTTCATTTGTCTCTGATTTTTTTCAGAAATTAACAGTTTGAAATTTGAAGTTAGGGTCCCCGGTCCCCCTCCCCTTGATGAGCCAGAACTGCCAGAAGAGAAAGAGTAAGAGAAGACCAGAAGAGAAAAGCTGAGAGAAGACCGCGCTCCAACTGGTCTAATTGACGAATATTATTCTCTTTAAAAATAAAAACAAATTCTGTTAGAAAAAATAAGCATTTTTGACATTTTGTCGGTTGAAAGAAATTTCATTGGGAAAAAAGAAATTTCATGAAATTTCATTCGATGAAATTTCTTTTAGCAACTATGGACATCCATGAGCCGAATTAGCTTATGCGAGCCTCTAAACTAGAGTCCATTTATACTGAGAGTCAAGACAATTCGGATCATGGATGTCACAAACGGGAATAAAGATTACAGAAATTGAACGTTTTTCGTAATCTTTGATTAGAGTCCCTTTATACCCAGAGTTAAGACAACTCGATTATCAGCTGACTGGCAGCCGGCCTTGGCTGGCCATGGAGGCCGAAACGAGTGCACCCGAACGAACGATATTGAGGGATAAGGATCAGGAATCCTACGATGTCTGTCTATGGAACGCCGTTAGTGTCAAAACCCTTTTCTTGCGCGCGCGGAATTTTTTCTGGCGCGCATAAAGAAAAAACCCGTTTTCGATGAAAATCTCTGAATTTCCGGATTCCGCGCCGGTTTTCGATATATTTGCGCCGTTTGTGTCAAAACCATTTTTTCCGGCGCGGCGCTCCAAATCTGTTCCGCGCGTGGAATTTTCGATATATCGATTCCTGCTCGCCGCCGGCGCGGCGCTCCGAAATCTGTTCCGCGCGCAGAATTTTCGATATATCGATTCCTGCTCGCCGACTGTTTTTTCCGGCGCTGCACCAGAAAATAATTCCGCGCGCCACTTTTTCGATACATCGATTTTTCTGCGCGCGGAGAAAATTATCTCTCTTTTGAACGATTTCCATTAAACCGTTGGAGGGGAAAAAGTGAAGTGCTGCCGATAATTTAAATTTATTTATTCCTGAATCCAGAAAATTTGCTCTATTGAATTTGTTCTTATTCAAATTCCCACTCATTGCTTTATTAGTTCATTTAAGTAGTAGCTGTATAAACTTCACGCTGCTTTACGAAGTTATAATGGAGTAATTTATAATTGACTAATACCTGAAAAAGATGGTCAACGTAAAGCAGCGTGAAGTTTATACAGCTACTACTTAAATGAACTAATAAAGCAATGAGTGGGAATTTGAATATGGACAAATTCAATAGAGCAAACTTTCTGGATTCAGGAATAAATAAATTTAAATTATCGGCAACACTGCACTTTTTCCCCTCCAACGGTTTAATGGAAATCGTTCAAAAGAGGGATAATATTCTCCGCGCGCAGAAAATCGATTTATCGAAAAAGTGGCGCGCGGAATTATTTTCTGGTGCAGCGCCGGAAAAAACAGTTTTGACACGATCGGCGAGCAGGAATCGATACATCGAAAATTCCGCGCGCGGAACAGATTTGAAGCGGCGCGCCGACAAAAATAGTTTTGACACAAACGGCGCAAATATATCGAAAACCGGTGCGGAATCCGGAAATTCAGAGATTTTCATCGAAAACGGGTTTTTTCTTTCCGCGCGCCAGAAAAAATTCCGCGCGCGCAAGAAAAGGGTTTTGACACTAACGGCGTTCCATAGTGGAAGCTGAATGTGGCTTGAATGTGGAAGTCATCGGCCCGATGCCTGAATTTAGAGTACCTATATTGAGAGAGTATGGCCATTCGTATCTTTTTACTACAGGAAAACTGTTCCGCTTTTTGATTGGTCAGCGAGTTTTTAGGCTTCATGATGCTCTTAGGGCCGTAAATAAACAAACAAGATGGCGACCAAAGACATAAAGACGGAGCGCTAAAAGCAAAAAATGAAGCTTCTTTTCAATCACCTCTACTATTGGCTAGAGGATTGGCGGCGAAATCGGGACAAGTTTGAAATTCAAATGTAGGGTAGGAACTAAATAAAATTGCGGAAACAAAGTATTCTAGGTTGATTTTTGCCCAAATTCACTTACCCACTCATATTTCTTTAACTTTAGGTTAGCTTTGGTCCGTCGTCGACCGATTAATTTCATTTGGGAGTAACGGTCATCTAGCACTGTAACGGCCTGTTTGAACCGGTAGAACCAACATGAGCAAAAGAAAAACTAACTTTATCTGAGATTACTGCCTATTACCGAGCAAAAGTAGGTGTATTATATCAGGACGCAGTCCCAACTTTCTTAATATAATCGTTTCAGGCATTTAAAACACGTTTAAAAGAGGAAATGTGGAAAAATCAAGAGGACAAGTTCAAATCAAATTTCCGTTTGCCGCCATGGATTCCCGCGCTCATTTACACACTCACACTAGAGTCCCTTTATACCCAGAGTAGAGTCCCTTTATACCCAGAGTTAAGACAACTCACTTTTGGTTGGGCTGAAAGTGGCCTAAAAAAAAATCCAATTCTGATTGGTTCTCGCTCATGGAGGCCGAAACGAGTGCACCAAGATGACGGTACCTCGAATGTGAACAAGAATAATAAAAATATTACCTAATTATGGTTTATCGAGAGTAAATTGTTATTTCCATCGGTCCAAAATGAAAATAGATTAAGAAATTATTCACAAACCAATCTCATTTTCTTTATAATTGATCAATTTGTTGATGTTGTTGTTTTTGTGTGACAGACATCGCAGAATTCCTGATCCTTATCCCTCAATATCGTTCGTTTGGGTGCACTCGTTTCGGCCTCCATGGCCAGCCTAGGTCGGCTGCCAGTCAGCTGATAATCGAGTTGTCTTAACTGTGGGCATAAAGGGACTCTAACCCAGAGTTAAGACAACTCGATTATCAGCTGACTGGCAGCCGACCTTGGCTGGCCATGGAGGCCGAAACGAGTGCACCCAAACGAACGATATTGAGGGATAAGGATCAGGAATTCTGCGATGTCTGTCACACAAAAACAACAACATCATCAAATTGATCAATTATAAAGAAAATGAGATTGGTTTGTGAATAATTTCTTAATCTATTTTCATTTTGGACCGATGGAAATAACAATTTACTCTCGATAAACCATAATTAGGTAATAT